TGTTTAGGCCAAATTTTGTCGTTCTTCTGTGAGTTGTTAAAAATACAATTGTATAAAATAGAAAGATTATGAGTACAGATGACCGCCTTTAGTATATAATGTTAGTTATAATAGATTGGATATTGAATAATCAACAAATCATTTAATAAAAAAACAAAAAAAAAATACTTGGTTGGACAAGGCGTTATTATAATAAGAGCAAAGATTAGTAATAATACTAAAAATCAACCATCCCTGTAATTATTTTATAGCACCATGTTCGGTTTTATTGCAGCAGCATAACCCCAAATTTTTTATTCTATTACAATAATCAGGCATGCTTTATTTTTTTCTTTTTGATTATTACTTCATTGGGAATTATGAACACTAATAAAGCCCTATTATTTTGTCATTTCTAATGATCTTCAAAATGAAATATTTTTTTTTGGTCAATGAATGGCATTTTTTGAGTGAAATTCGCTGATTGGTGTGGACAAATTAACGGGCCAATTTATCGAAATTTCGAAATGGCCCGTCGACGATGAATTAATGCTTGCTTTGCAATGTAGTGTGGGATAACCAGTAAGTCATCTAATCTGAAAATAACTTAGAGGAAATTGATTGATGATTAAGATTAATGAATTGTTGGATTATAATATTAATAATGGCTTTTTTATAATGAATTATAATGAATATAAATATATTCTAGTAAATTGCATGAAAGAAGTACCGTAATCGCAAGAACATATGAATTATATATATTTATAATTCTTTACTAAATAATTAATGAATGAATGCATTACATAAATATTATTTATTATGTACATTGGCTGTAAATTCTTATAATATAATTGAAATATCCAAATTTGAAAAAAGATTTTATATAAAAAATGAGAAAAATAAAGATTAGAATGGTAATCATGATTGTGACAAATAATAATTATAAATAAATATGTTGTTGCTATATTATAAAAAATGATTGTTATTCGATACATTATAAATTAGATGTATTATATATTTAAATTACTTACACGCGAATTAATCATTACAAAGAAAATAAAATCATGGTAAAAAAATACAAGATTTTGTTCTTGTTAAAATAATATCAATTGCCGGCAATATGGTGTCCACGTTTTTTCAATTCCTCACATGACTCTTTCCATTCATTGACTGTCACCCAAGGAAGCCTAATTACTTTAGTAGGAATCATAATAAATAAATTCCCATTACACAGTATTATTTATTACACAAACTCTCGATGTAAAGAATATTGAGAAAAATTCGTTATTTCCTGTGTTTACCTAGTATTTAATCGTTAATTAACTTAATAGGTAAATTTAATTAAATTTACAAATCAAAATAAAAAATTTCAACAAATCGCAGAAATCTTCTCATATTTCTCTCTCCTCTTTTCGTATACTTGACTAAATCGGTTAGAAATTAAAAAAATTTAAGGTTTTTGCATTATTATTATCGTTGTTATTGTAATTTAAATTTAAGAAAATATTACTTGAGAAAAATTTTTTCGCAATTTTCAATTTTTTATTTGTTTGTTTATTTTCCAATATTTATTTATTTATTTATTTATTTATTTATTTATTTATTATTTATTAAATTTCTAGATCAGTCATCGATACCACATTGATACCACCCGAATAATTATAGGTTTTGGCGCGAATACTTAATCCCATTTTACAATTTATTTGGTTTAAATGATTTACAATGAACTTTAAAAATTATTTCTTCCCTTCACACATTCATCAACACATGCAAAAAAACTGTTAGAATCCAATCATCTAATTTTTTTTCTTTTTTTTTAAGAGCAATCATAGCAATCTCACATTCCATCCACCCATCCCATCCATCTTTCCCTGTCATTCATTTCTTTTTGGATTTTTTTTTTTTAATTATTGCCAAACTTGTTATCATTACCTTATTTACCATATCAACAATCATTATCATCTATAACACATTTAGAAACTGAACATTTTCACGTGACTTTGGACATTATTATTAATTTCCGGCGTTTCTAAAATATCATCCGTGCGCTAACGTTTAACAGATAAATTACAATGCCACCACCACCCAAAATAAATGGGCGCATAAAGTTTCCCATGACGAAACATTATACACTTGAAATTTTAACGTATATATATAATGTATGCAGAATGTAGAGAAAACTATAAAGAGCATTCGTAAAGAGATATTTATAAAAAATTTTTTGGAAATTATGTAAATATTGTAATATTTAGTTGAGGTAGGTGGTGCTGTAAAGGAAGGAATATTTCTAAATAATAATAATGATTCACAAAATTATGATATATTTGTTATGTCTTACCAGAATTTGTATTTCCCAGTCGGTAAACAACAAATTTACACCGTTCCAAAATTCCGTTGAGAAATCGTTTAAGTTTCCCCTAGAAAAAAAATTTTATATATAAAATACCAGCTTAGTAAAAAGTTATTATTATTATTATGTTGTGAAGCATGACTTCTTTATAAACATCCAAATCCTTCATATTTATTTATATTTGAATACTACGGCGAATGAATAGGATAATTCGTCCATATAATAACCACAAATAGTTAAATGTATATTTTTCCTTTAATTAATATATATTCCTAATATTTATATAAACGTCTAATATTCTTTAAAGAATTTTTTTAAATTTTTTTTCAAAAAAAAATCCCATTTTTGAAATATATATAATTTTTTTTTTTTGAAAATTTACCAATAAAAAGAATCTTTAAAAAAAATCTTTGGAACCGATAATAATAATAGCATTCTAATTGTTGTTTAATGAATGAATGTGAGTGAATGAATGTAAGAGTGAGTTGAGTGAATTAATGTTTAAATTTTATTAATTTAATGAAATGAAAAAGAATTTTTATTTTTATTTTTTTTAAAAATATTTTTTTGGAGAAAAAAATTAAATTTTTCTCAAAAAAAGGTTGTATTTAAATCATTCATTATATATATATATATTTTTATTTATATTATTTATATATCCATTATTATTATATGTTAATATTATTTCGAGAAAAAAAAAACCTTTTAAATTTTCATCCACCCCATTTTAATCAAATTGAACTAAATAAAATATAGAAAAAAATATACCTTGATCTGGAATAATAATAATTAATAATTAATAATATTTTATATTATAAAAAAAATTTATTATAAAAAAAAATGCAAAGAAATAATAAAAGAATAAAAAATAATAACTACCATTATTCTCAATTTCCTCAGTGCGTATAAAACATTTTTTTTATTAATTTTTTGGCTAAAATTTATTAATTATTATTTAAAAATAACGAATTTCTTTATTTTAACCATTTATAGGCTTGAAATTTCAAATTCCTCATCTCTTCCACCAAAATCAAGGTCTTCATTGTTGGTACCTGATGTACTCGAAGAAATATTTAGTTCACTCGCTGAAACAGAACAATCAACAGTATTTTTTTATGATCAATCAACTTTAAAAAATTTATATTCTTGCATGCTAGTTTGCAGAAAATGGTCTCAAAGTGCAGTAAGAATATTATGGAAGAAACCATTCGGTCCTTTTCACGATAAAGGCTTTAAAATAATCACGACCCTTTTAAGAGGTTTAAGCCACCAAGAAAAAAAATTTTTAAGGTCACATGGGGTGAAATTACCATCATCCACCACCATCTCATCCACCACCACCACCACCGCGGCCGTCGCCTCAGTGCTACCTTTATTCAACTACCCCTCTTTCATTAAACACTTGGAGTACAGTGAAATGTTATATTCTGTTGAACAATGGTGTTTATCTTTACCAAAATCTAAAAAAAAATCAAAGATTGTCATACCAATAATGAAAGTTTTATTAAGATTATTTTTACATAATGCTGGTCCGCTTCACTCGCTCAAACTTTCTTCGCTTGGAGAAAGTTACAATGATGAAAAATTCATGATATTGGCAGAACCACCAATCGTACCTTTAATCTCCAGCGTGAAAAATCTTTCTTTGGATGGTTTCGATCATAATCAAAATGGTTTATTAACCAGGCTTCCTGATTTATGTCAAAATTTGGTAATTAGAATTTATGATCTTTTACGTAATTTTATTATTATTTAACGAAAAATTCTAATTATATATATATATATATATATTATCATATTTAAAGGAATGCTTATCGTTAAGAGGATGGTACAGCAATAAACCTTATGATGATGTACCGGATGATTCAGCCGCGATATCACTAGAAAGAATAATAAAAGCTCAAAAATACTTGATATCTTTAGATTTGTTTGATTGTAAAACTTATCTTGATTATATAATATCAGCTTTGGTATCCCAATCGGTTTCGTTACGTAATGTGTACTTTAGATTTGTTGATTTTGATGATTGTGGTCCTTGGGATGGTTTGGCAAGTTGTATGAATTTAAAAAACTTGGAGTTTTGGTTTTGTGAAGGCATCACTGATAAAATGATAAAGCCTTTATTAAGCTCTGATCTTTCGGATTTAGAACAGGTAAAAATTCTTTATCATTTTCATTCCTGTGGTTGTGATGATCTAGAATGTTGGGCTCATACAATTAATGGAACTAAGCCTGAAGAGGGTGATGATGATGATGATGGTGATTGTTGTTAAATTATTATATTTTAGTAAATGACACACACATATTATATAATTCATTAATAACCAAAAAAAAACATTTTATGCGAAATTAGACATTTTAAATCTAGATTTATTTCTTTTAATAAAATAAAATAAAAAATAAAAATTGTGTATATACAATATATAGAAAATAAAAATAAATTTAATATCTTTGAATAAAAATTTTGTTATTTTTTTTTTGGGAGGCGAACAACTGCTGTCATTAAATATTTAATTAAAATTTTTAGTTAAAAATTTTAAAATTATCATCTAAAACTATTAAAATCATCATACAAATCAAATCATTCGCATTAATTTTATCATTATAAAAACAAATATTATAAATATAACCAAAGTTTATTTGCCACCAAATAAAATAAAATTTCGTAAAAATGGACGATTTCAATTTCAGAGTTAAAGGAATTCCTGAAAGCGATTCGTCAGAACTTTTGCGTGTACATTTAACAGATTTAAAAAATGCCAATAAAAATGAACTTCCACCTTTTATTGAAAAAATACCATTAATAATTCCTTCGAAAAATATTATATTCTATGTGAAAAATGTTGTCAAGAATGCAGTTCTTAGTGTATTGTTTGACTGGACGTCACCAATTGCTCACCCTTTAAACGTCATTTTATATTTATTTATTTATGTTCCGTTACTTTTTGTTTTGTATCCTTTTGAAATTATTTTACGTTTTGTTGAATGGAACGGCTGGACTCGATTAGAAGGAACTGTTTTAGAACATTGGAAACAATTAAGCGATGAAGTTGTAGGCAAGGCTTTTTTAAAAATATAAAATCTGTATCATATAATCATCTTCGTCATTAATCGTTATTATGATTATTTTATTTTTTAGAGGATAATTTGAGAAAAGGTTTTGAATCATTGGATAAATCTATACCATTGAAAGAAGAAAGAAAAAGTAGTAAATTTGATGTTGATCGAGCTGAAGCTCTTCTTTATTTATCTACTTTGATGTATAAACGTGATGAAAATGCTGTTCTTATGGCAAAGAGAAAATTAAATCAAATCAAAACAGCCAGAAGAGATCCATCGAGTGAAACAATAGATTTGGCGGAAGTTTCACAATTATTGTTAGAAGCAGATCAAGAAATTTCTGAAGAAGCCGAAGCTTTTGAATTAAGATTCAAGTCGATCAGTGAAATGCGACAATTCGGAGGTCCATACGCGGGAATTTTTTGGTCAGATCAACACAATTTCATTGTCGCAGCATTCAAAGGAACGACACCAACAAATTTCACTGAATGGTTATTGGATGCAACAATCCAACGAATGGACGGGAGAGCTTATTTGTTTGGAGAAGTCCATAAAGGTTTTTACACTTCTCTATTTCCGAATGATGAATTCTCATCTGCTGAAGCTGATAGAGAATCGGCATCTTTTTTCTTAATCGAGGCAATTAAAAAACAAGCAAAAATTATGTCTGAAAAAAATAACGATAATGGAGTTCATATATGGGTAACTGGTCATTCCCTTGGAGCTGCCTACACAACATTGTTTTATTCCCATTTATTAAAAATAAAAGAAGGCTTTGGAGATCAATGTTTATTGCGTGATGCATACGCCTTTGCAAGCCCTTTGGTTGGTGATAGTAATTTTGCAGCTGAATTTTTTTCACTTTACAACACAGATCATAATTTAGGAAAAAATTTATGGCGCATAGTTAATGATAATGATATAATACCAAGGTTACCACCACATAATCTTGCACTGTTTAGACCTTATGCTGATAATATTTACACAACAAATTATGTTCATATTGGTGATGAAATAATATTTTATCAAGATGGAATTAGAGAGCCTAAATCGCATAGCAAAATATGTGGTGAAACTTATCACGAACAATTTATTCGTGGTGATTTTGATAACAATGGTGGAATTTTGTTTAACGATAGATTTTTCAATAAATTTAATAACCATCATAGACGCAGGATGGAATCATCTATGCATAATAGAAAACTTGATGGTTATTTGTATGGTAGAATCGAACATCTTGCACCTAATTTTGCTAGAAATCATATTGATTATAGATATTTTGTTGTATTAGAAAAATCAAGAAAATTTTTTCAATAATTAAATTTTTTTGTTATTTATACATATAATAATAATTTATGAATTAAAGAAAGATTGTGTTGTTGTAATGAACAAATTAACTAACCATTGAACATATCAACAAATATCTTTTTGATTGATTATAATGAAATTCATATCCTTTATTAGGGTGAATTCCAAAGTTGAGAGCATCCCTATAAAATTTTTTTTCAGAAAATGTATGGTTTTTCCATACATTTTCCGTGCATTTTGTATGGAATATGTACGGAATTATACATGAAAAGAGCGCTTTTCCATACATATTTGTCCTGAAAATGTCCTGAAAATACATTCCGTACATTTTCCTGCGCATTTTCCATACATTTTCGGTGCTATTTCACAATACCAATGCTAATGATTTTAGTATTGATGTCTTTGTTTTTTGGGTACTACCAAAATTTTTTTATTTTTATTTTATTGATTGTTTATTTTTTCAATCTTACTATTGAAATTTCATATTAAAATTCGATCTCAATCTCAATCTCAATCTCAGATAGAAATCAATTTCAATATTAATAAGTAAATTCTCTCGGTTTAACGGATTTACTAATTAAATCTCGGTATAACGGATTTTTGAAATTTTTGTTCTAATTGCCCAAATTATCCGCTATACCGAGACTCACTGTGTACTAGTTGGAAGAAAATCTTAAAATAAGTGTGAAGAAAAGAAACGCTTCGGACCTGGCGCAGAATAACCAATATTTAAGCTAACCTTTTCTTTTAGCTGTCATTAGAAAGTTCTGGTCTGGCTCTAAAATTTTTATTATGGTTGAAAATCGCTTGCTATATGAAAAACACAGGAATTTTTTTTTGAAAGTGGATGATAATAATTTATTCATGTAATGTTTATATTGAATGACACTTGATCTGTAATGTCCTGCGACCAGTAGGAGCAACTATTTTACTTTTAGTCATAGTTATATAGAATTAAGTATATAATAAATGCACAATTGTATAGTAAGCAACTCAAGATTTTAACGTGTTTTGAATTTATTATGTTTTAATATCCCCACAATTTACTAATTGATTTTCAAAATTTTGTGCACTTGTATCACAAATCACGAATTAATTATCTTTTAAACAAGATTTAGCGGGGGATGCGCAGTGAGCTTTTTTGTGAACTTTAATAATAATAATATTTATGTAATAAATTTGAGATTCACATATACATGTTAGTTAAATATTAATTAATTTAATTTGGCCAAGGCCTTTCTGTTTTATTTTTTTAATCTTGCATATTCTTGAATCACAGATTGATCAGTTTTTACACAAGAAAAGTCAAAACCTAAAACCTCAAGTGAATCCCAAAAAGGCACTCTGCTCATAGATACATATACTTGACCAGGTGCAAACATATTTTCATCCTTTTTTTTGTGATATGCAAATCATTTATATTAATAATCATTGTTTTATTGATTATTAAATTCATCTCTTTATATTTTATTTATTATTTGCATAATCTGTAATTATTAGAATAAATAAAAAAAACAATGATGATGTGATTTCGCGATTAAACTTGAATATTCCCATTTTGGTATTACAAAAAATGTGGGGCCGTCCTATTTAAATGTTCTAAAAAAATTTAAATAAAATAGACTATGGTCTTGATCCAAGATGTGATAATAATCGATAAAAAATAAAAAGCAAGAAGCCTATATTGCGTTTTTGGTTGTAAGTGTGTTAATAAAAAAAATATATATATCAGTCAGTAGTGATCTTTATCACATTAACCATACACTAAAAACCAATTCTCTATTTATTTGCATGATAAATGTTTATCACTTGGAAAAGGTATCTACATAGATCATCAAAGATATGTGTATCGAATTTCAAAACAAAAATATTCTTTTTATCATGCTTATCACTAGTTTTTTTGCCATTGTTGTTGCCATTAAAACGGTTGTTCCCTTTGGAAAAAGAAAAATCGTGGAGGAAAAAAATTTTAAATTTGATCGGCGCAAAAAAAAAATTACAAATTATTTGTTTTTTTTGAATGGAAAGTTGGGCGATTTAAGTAAATAATAAAAAAACAAACGATATTGTTTTTTAAGTAAATACGAGAAAAATAATTTTAGACTTGATGGGCACAAAAACACTGTTATTATTATTTGTTTTCTTTGAATGGAAAGTTATGCGATTTAAATAAAATAATGAAAAAAACAATCAATATTGTTATAAAAATATGAAGTTATGCAGATCCGATTTAATATTAACATTAATATTAAAAGGAAAAAGACATTTTTCTGCTTGACCATGATAATGCTGTGCCAAATCGAAAAATTTTTTTTTTTTTAATATAAATTAAACGTTCGTCCGTAAAAAAAAAATTGGGGAGCAGCTTATAAGCTTATAAGCTCAAGCTAGTAGACAATAACATCCTAAGCATAAGCTTATAGCTAAAATAATAAGCTTAAGCTTATGAAAAACATATATACAATCATTTTAATTTCGTGCAACTTTAAAATCCAAAAAAAGTTATTAAAAATATTAATTAAACAATCACGATAAGCATCACATTTTGCCAAAAAAAATTTTTTTTGAACAAAAAAAGAAAAAATAGGCTACACAGATTTTATTCGTTTGCTTTCTTTCGCTAACAAATGTATAATCAAGAAAATAGAAAGAGAAAGAAGAAAGAAAAAAACGAAGAAAGTAATTGGAGAGAGGCGGCTGGGTAAGTGTTTATCATAATAATGGTGGTTATCACCACTTGTTATTTGTTAATAATTTTTTTTAATTGATGAAACTTGACTTTCTTGTACTTGTTTAATACATCTATATAGTACATCATCTTTACGACCACCACTTCAAGAAAAAAACGATCATAGGGAAAATGCTCAAGTATAATCATATTGTTTATTTAAATACATTAATATTTAGTGTTCAATTATGATCAATACTGCAAATATTAATCTGATCTTTACAAAATAAACATTCTCTTAGGAATTGGAAGAAAAAGTCAAATATTTAGAAAATGAAATTGTTAAATTGAAAAAAAAATTGAAAAAGACAGGTAAAAGATCTTACAATACAAATGCTGGTTTATCATATACATTGGTGATAAAATTGACCTCCATTTGAAATATTATCTGCACAATATTATCATCTATCCATTTAGGAGTATTTGGTATATACTATTTACAACATTAACTAAATTTTGCTTTTTTGTAAATGTAGTAGGAAAACATAAGGCAGAAGAAGAGCATGTTGATGGTATTGAAAGAGGGAAAAAGTTGTCCACAGCTCCATCCAGACTTGGAAAAGCATCAGATTATATTCATGTGCAAAACACAAACTGCTTTATAATGGTTATCCACAATCACTCCAACCTCCTCCACTTGTGCTTTACCATCCTGTGTTTGCAAATTTTATTGATGATTGTAAAACAATAGAGTTGGAATTTGACTCTCACATCATTGTGGCAAAATTTATTGAAGCAATGACAGATGCTTACCATATACAGTCAAAGCCCGTTATAGTGGATCTCGTTATAGTGGACACATAATAAAATCTCGTTATAGTGGACCTTTTTTGTTTCCAATGCTAATTAATTTCGCTCAATATAGTGGAAAACATAATAAAATTTCGTTATAGTGGAAAAAAGGAGAAAAATTACATATGGAACCAAGGGTCCACTATAACAAGCTTTGACTGTAGAGGGAGAAAGATGAGACAAATTTCGTGAACTTATCAATAGTTATTTAGGCTTTACATTAAATTTAGGATCCATATCTACAAATGGTATTACTTACTCCACAGATGGTTGTATTTTTCATGAAGACAATATACCTGTAATTTTGGAGGTTAAAAATGACAATGAAGGCAATGCATTTAAACAAGCTTGTGGATATTATTGGAAATGGATTGAAGGCTTGAATGAAAATTATTCACGAATAACACGTTTACCATGTCTTATTATATGTTTGACTGGTTAGTATCAATAAATTCCTATGCATATGCATTTGTTCTTTTTTTGACCAATTTTATTTGTTTCTTTTTATCAGCATCACATCTTAGGATTGCTGGTGCTTTTTATAATGGAAATTATTTAATTGAAGGCCTAACAGAAAATTCATTAGACTGCTTTGAATCTACTGAACCAGAGAGAACACAAATAATTGGAAGGATGTTACTTGCTCTTAAAAAAGCTGTTCAGACATTAAAAGATTACTATACTTCTCCCATTCAGACTATACCATTGAAATTTCCCTGTATTACATTATTTAAGATGCTTGATAGTGGATATGAAATACCATTTGAATATGAAAAAAAATTAAATGAAGGTAAATTTGTATATGTTGTTAAAACAGGGACCAGTAATTGCAATGATGTTCCAAAATTGTTAGTTGTAAAGTTTGTTACAAACTATGGGTTGGATATGCATAAATTTTGTGCAAATAAAAATATTGCTCCAAAGGTCTATGGGTATGAGAACATTAACTGTAATTGGAAAATGGTGACAATGGAATATTTTTCAGACTATCTCTTAAACGGTCAGAGTATATTTTAATGGTAACACAAATTAAGGTTTTGATCATTCTTATTGGTCAATTTAACGATCAGCAAAGTAAAAACAGTCAATCAACCAACTTTTAAAGAAGATTTTACAAAAACCATAAGGACAACAACTGGATTTTCATTTATAGATTAATCGGCTGAATCTCAAAGATCATTTTCGTATTAGAAAGTGATGCCCTCAGAAAAAATTTTTTATATCAGAAAAATTTTATCAGCTATCAATAGCCGATTAACCATTTAGGGGATAAATTATTAACAGATCCTCCATTTGAAAAAGGTCAAAAAATGAAGCTTCAGGAGAAAATCAAGGATGCAGTTCAGGAGATACACAGTGAAGGATTGGTTCATGGTGATTTACAGGAGTGTAATATTCTTTATAAAGAAGAGGAAAAAAATAGAGATGGAGATATACAAGTAAAAATTATAGATTTTGATTGGGGAGGAAAGGAAGAAGCAGTGAGATACCCACCACAACTTGATCCTAATATTTCATGGCCATTGGGTGTTCAAACCAACAAGCAAATTAAACAAATACATGATAGTGATCTCCTTCAGTCAACAATTGAAAAATATTTGAAAGTATAATATTTATAGAAGGAAGGATTGAATAACTGTGAATGGAGAATATAGAGAGTTTTTAATATTTGTAATCTTTCATTATTAATTTCAGTATGGTTATCATATTCATAATTTTAAATATAATTAACTCTATTGTGATGATACTGTTTTTTTATTAAACAATTTTAAGATAATTAGATTTAATGAAACAGATAGAATTAGAACTTATTTTTCACCTTGGCTATTACATAATCAGTTTATCACAATTAAATATAAATAAAATTTAATAAATTAAAATAACTTTTCGTGAGTTATAAGTTCCTTTATTTTTGTCCATAAAAATTAATGCTCTTATGTTTGTGTAATTAATTTTCAATTTCCTGCAAAAACTTACAAAGTGAACAAATTATATATATAGGGATAAGTGTATATGAAAAATGATAATAAGTATAATGGTTTTAATGAATATCAAAAAGCAATTGATTTTTTAGAAAAAGGTTGTAAATGTGGTTGTTCTTCCAGAATTCCCAAGGAAGAATTTGCAGAATTAAGGGAATCCTTTCAAGCTCTTTCTAAATCAGAACAAGACATATTTTTAATGGCACAGATTAAAGCAATGGATGGTGGATCAATGAGCACCAGCAGACATCTTAAAAAGAAAATCAGATCCAATAAAAAAACTTTCTATCACTGGGATCATAATGCACCTCTTTGTCAAGAAACTTATCTCAATATGTTGGGAATTGGTAGAACTTACTTTGAAAATATCAGAAATCATCTGATAAACAATGGTCTTCTGCTAAGAATTCATGGTAATATTAAAAGGATGCCTCAATGGAAAACTAAGATGGTGATTGATAAAAATGTTGCTGAAGTAGTAAAAAATTTTCTGGAAAATTATGCTGAAGTTCATGGATTACCAAGTCCAGGAAGAAGTATCAATAGAATAACCCAGTCAGTTATATTTTTACCAGCTGAAATGAGTTATAAATCAGTACATAGAGACTTTTTGGCTGGTTTAGAAGAAAATAACAAATTAAAATCCTTAAAATATGATGCATTCAGAAAATTATGACATCAATTGACACCAGAGATTCAAATTATGAGTCCAAGAACTGAC